GGTCAAATGAAGGTGAATTAAAGACATATTTTTACAACAACTCTTTAGACTAAATATTACATAAATATTTGTACAACAACACACAAGTTAAGATGAAATGAAAGTCAAGGAATACATAATTCTGCAATAATAATTCTCTTTCCTGAGAGTGGCATGGAAACGTACATATGGCTTTGTACACATAAAGCTGAAGCAACCGAAGAAGAACAAAACCAAATGCAGTGTTAAATAGCAAAGCGGATAAGTTAATATTACCTTATTATATTTCAGTACAGTAAATAAAAAAATGGTTACCTTCGACATTAATTCAAACTTTAAACTTATTACTACTAATATTAACAGCATACCCAATTACAATAGATTAAAGTTATGGAGGTTAATAGATAACATAAATCTTGTCGATGTGACTCAACAATTAAAAACTCTTACAATCAACTAAATACGCTATTGTATCGTTTGAATAACGCATTATATTTCTGTGCTAAAAGATTTTCAGAATTAAATAGTGAAAGAAATGCAAGAATTGCTCTGAACTCATTTAAACATGGTTTGCCAGAACCTGTAAAAAACCTAATCGTGAGCAGAAACCCCAAAAGTTTAAAATAAGCATATGACATAATCAAAACAAATGGTTATCTAAAATATAATAACAGTCGATTTAATTTTTTTAATAATTCACAAATTTACAGAAGTAATAGATTTAATACACAGCGAAGTGAATATAACATAAATAATCACAGTCAAGTACAACAAAACCAACAATATGATAATAACAGCAGAACTAGATACGCACAAAATAATGGCTCACAAAGTAATAACATTGGCCAGTCAAATTTTATCGCACAGCTTACGCAAACCTAAAACAACAATAGTCAAATACGTAGATCGCAAAGTTATTATCCTCGACTAAGCAATATAGCTGGGAACTTCATCCAGATTTTTCAATATTCGAATAACGGATACCTAAATGGAAAATCCGGTTACTCTGGAAGCTAAGATAATATTCGGCTATCCGAATATCTAGATTTTTCGTTATAAAAACGATATTTTCATTTCCCAATACAGGCGCTCATAAATGTGTAGTAACTAGTTTTCAATTTCTACGCACGAAATAGTTTGTATAAATTTTTAAATTTCCAAAATTCTACTTTGGAATTTCCAAGGCTTCTACAAACGAACTAAAGAGTTCAACAAACAAATTTATGCGCATAGAAAACTTGCTACTTCATATGCATGAGCGCCTGGTATTGGCCCAGCAAACATTTGGATTCATAAATGAGTCTTTAAGAAGTCCTATTTCGGAGCCATTACGCTCATAGTGAGCTAATTTAAAAGTCCGATATGAGGGTGTTTCCCTTCCTCCGAAGGTCGACATATATGAGCTTAAATTCATACATCAAATGGGCCTTAATATGAGTCATATTGGACTCTTATTGGCCTCATATACGGCTCATTTTGGACTCTTTTAAAATAATTTTTGGCCCCATATATGAATAATTTCAGACTCTTTTTGAGGCTCTTATCGGCCTCATAAAATACTACATTCGGAGTCTGTAGCTGCAGCCATGATAAAAACATAACAAGGTAAGACCATTGAGATGCAATCTGACGTTTGTCAGCTATCCCAATAAATATTGGGCTTGGTCAACAATTCGAAAATGATTGGAAAACCAATCTTTTTCTCGAGCCTCACCTTCGATAACTAATTGCTAATAGCAAAAGGAAACCTTCGTTATCCACTGTATTTTTATTTCGTTATGAATTCGAAATCCAGCCATTATCGAATTGAAAATTTAATTAGTGAGAGTGATTGTCTTATATTTACCTTCGAAAATGAGCTAGATTTCAATTCCTCTCTTGTTACTATGGTTCCTTATTTTTTTCCCGAACCCATCTCAAGTGTATTTCTAATACACAATGAACATTGGACAACTAAGGTTGGTTATGAGTTCGTTCTCAGTTCGATATCCTTATTGGATATCGAAGGTAATTTTCGATATAATTCGGGATATAATTTAAAAACTCACACACACATTCTCATTTTCAATCTCACACAACAACAATCCCACCCGACCAACGTACACGAGAATGCATCCGTTTTAGTTATTTTAGCAACACTTTCACTTAAAAAACTATTGAGAAACATCTGAGTTTCAAGATGCGAATAAAACTAAGTTATTCCATTTTTCTAGCCCAACGTTTCGGTAATACTTTTTAGCATCTTCAGGGGCAATTCATTTATTTGATATCTGTCACAAACCAATAAGATACAAAACATATTAAAACATAACCATAAAGCAATAAAAATATATAAATAAAGACAATTAAACATTTTAAATATAGGTACAAACCAACTCACCCTACTAGTAATGTTCTTTTTGTTTGTAATGTTGTGTTAGTAACAGAAATTTTAATGTTTTTATGTAATTAATTTTGAAATTTTGTTTTAATATTCAAAACAATAGGATGAGTTGGTTTGTACCTATATTTAAAATGTTTTATTGTATTTATTTATATATTTTTATTGCTTTATGGTTATGTTTTAATATCTTTTGTATCCCATTAGTTTGTGACAGATATCAAATAAATGAATTGCCCCTGAAGATGCTAAAAAGTATTAGCGAAACGTTGGGCTAGAAAAATGGAATAACTTAGTTTTATTCGCATCTTGAAACTCAGATCAGACGCGCCTATTAATATACATGTTAAATAAATCAAGAACTGATCGGAATATACATACTTAAACCAGTTTTGTTAAAAGCATATCTGCTTGCCAACGTTGCAAGAGAAGGAAACCTGTGGTGACAGACATCAATTGCTGTCCCAATGCCTCTTCGAGTCATAGTGTGGCACGGTACTGGTGTGACATTGCCCAATTCCAGATTATCCAGACAGACCTCTGATGCCACGAAACGCTTGCCTCAAACCAAGAAGTGATGCAAGGGTGGTCGGTCGAAGCAGAACTGCCCTCGCTATTCCCTCGAAGCAAGGTCTGGAGGTCTGGGTCGCGGGCAACTTATTGTGAGCCCGTAAAATGCCCCTGCTCATTGCTGTAATGGGGAGGGCGGGTTAGACTCGGCAGATGACTACTGCGGAAATTAAACGCTGATCCGGGCCGTCATTGCCTCCGGCACTGTAGCCAATGCTCGTTCATAAGAGAGGGATGGAACCATTGTGGTGAAATGCCTATCCCAAGTTAACTGGGATTGGCTCAAAGCTGTGGAGCAAAGAATACCGGTCACAAGGGGGCAGACTTCACTGTTTACAGTGCTAATTACAAATGAGAGATAAAATTTTGAATGGTAGAGCGGAATACGTGCCGTGGGAACGTAGTATAACTCGCTCTGCGAAGAGGGCTGCAGCGGGATTGAGACCTTGAGTCAAACGGCTAGGCTAGTAAAAGGTCTGAAGAAGGACCAAACCACAAAGACGCCTTCACTCAAGAGTCCTGATGACTTTTTAACGGAGAACTCTCTGTTCTTCTAGAGGCTCAATTTCGTGAAATCAGGTGATGGTTTCGCCTTCATACCCTCTACTGGTGAGAAGGGAATGCGAGAACCACAGTGTCAAGGTACAACTGGTTTGTTGCCAGAAATGTGGCTAATGAAGATGCCCCAAGGACCAATTTCAAATGAATATTTAAATGGCACTTAAGTTTAGTTGTGGATTGTTGTTTGAATGCCATTTAACTTTCGTTGGGTTTCAGATCAACTTTGTTTAAATATGCCAAACAATTGGCAGCACTGCTGTATGTTCCTTGAAATTGTTGTTGCATTTGCTTGTTTCTTTACATTTTGTACTGAACAGTTGATTGTTTTTTGGTGGGATTTGGTGGGATTGATAAACAACCTACCAGTCAATCTCGGATATTTGGAGCAAACACAGGGTTGCATATCTCATATTTAAATAGCCAATATTGGCCATTTGAGTACAGATTAAATGTACGATCTGTAAATTAAGAGTGACAGTTAATCAACAATCTCTATTTAAGTAGGCCATCTGATATTGGGCCTAAGATATGCCATTGAGTCTTTTGACAGTCTCAAATCGCCCGGTCCGGATGGCATCCTACCTATTGTACTTAAAGATGGTGTTGAGCTTTAGTTGGCAAGAGCTGCCATCAAAGTGACAAGCTTGTAGTTATTTATTTATAGGAAATTTGCGAAATATATACAAAAATATGCAAATATGCAAACATGCAAAACATGTGAAAATATTCTAAACATAATAGGTCCAAATTAACTCACTTCCGCCTATAATGAGTTTCTACCCAGGTCCAGACTTTCTGTGATGTTAAACAAAAATAATCACTTGTATAAATATCCAAGCTCTACTTCTCATAAATAATTTTTAACTATTTCAGCTATTTGGGGATATATTTTTCTCATTCTTTCCACCACGCGAGCGGATCCCTATGGCTCTCCAATAAATCTTCTTGAATATATTGATTACCCTCGACTATGTCAGACGCAAAAAAAACGGGAAAATTTTAGAATGATAACGCCCGAGTACGAAATTAAGGAAAATAGGGGGGTAGAGAGGGTTCTTAAGGGGGTCTGTGTAAAGTTTGAAAGCGCAGAACCTTATAGTTTTTAAATAATTTGTTATTAAAGTTTGTAATTTTAACCATCTTGTATGGGACTATTTCACAACATATAATGCACTTTCCACTAAATTTACACATTATTTACACACAATATATGTGCAGTTAGAGTGTGCACGATCAAACAAATAAATACTTACATATAGTATATTACAGGTTTTTATGAAAAATTAATTGTTGTTTAATTATTATTAGAGTACATGCAGAATATGTGCAAATGGCAGCAGGACTGTGTTGCCACATCTAGAAAAAGTGGAAAGCAAGAGCAAAAGAAAATGCGATTAAAAAGAAAATATGATAAGGTTCTTTTGTTCAGATAAAAATAAGTAGTAGGGGGATTGGGGTCATATTCCCCCATAAAATACTGACACACATGTTTAAGGCTTTTATCTATATTTTATTGCGTCAACAAGTTTGAGGAAATTACGAGCGTTTTGCGCCACAGATATTCTACAATTTTATCCGCAAAATTATGAGGATTATTGTAGTTGTCTCTATTGAAAAATCTTTTAATCACACGCCATTGCGATTCGATCCTTTTCGTATGCGTGGCGTCGTCTGCCACAAAGGGGTTATCCGGATCGCTATGGTTTACTTTTCTGTGCTCATATCCATTGTCCGCTAGGTAATCGTACGCCTTCCAAAAATCGGTACAAATAATTGTTCCCTCGGCTACATGTTTTTGAATGAGGGGTATGAGCACCTCAGCGGACCGGACATTTTCTGGGCAGACTTCCAACCACGGATCGTCGCTGCCGTCCTCAACCATTCCTAGGACCCAATGGCCATCCACTCTCCTGCCTAAAACAAAATATAAATTAAAGAATATGTTTTTCTAAATACATTATTGGTACCTTTGTGGTATTTTCGCTTCCCGAACTTGCTCTCGTCGATCTGAACAATTCTACCGGCGCCCCCAATTTTGTCTAACTCCTCCTGCTGATCGACTTGATATAAAACAACTGCCTCACGACATTAGTTGTACCAATCGCAGATGGTGGCGCTAGACACAACGATTCTCTCGGTAATGCTTTCTTTTCGGACTTCAGCCCGGTTCCAGTGCGAAGCGTAGGCGTACATTACGTAGAAAATGTCTGGTAGTGGAAGCTTGGATTTTCAAACCACGTACCAGTGGCCCTAGAAACGCCCGATCTTGAACGGCAGCTCCCTTTGCGACATCGAAAACTGCAGACCGTGTTGTTACCCAACGGTGAAACCGTCATTGGGATTTTATGCGTACGGCATAATCTCGTGGTCAAAATTAGACCCTGTGCCTCTGCGAAAGCGGTATAGTTTTCGCGCGTATCAAATATCTATGATACCTTTAGAAGGCTCCACATTCCGCGTACTTCAGCGACGCACAGCGCAGTCGCATTTTGTGCATAAAAACTTGCTTGCTTTAAATAATACGATAAATATTTAGTAGATGTATAAACATAAGCACTTGATACTTTAAAAACATACCTGCTTGATCGTCAGCCACTTTTGTTTAAATAAATAATAATGTATAAAACCCAGAGCTCACAAACAACGCTGAAGTAACGATTGGAAAAGAATATAATACCAAAGCAGAGAAAGAAACGTTACTTTGAATAAAACTAACAGTACAATCCACATTGGCACCCATTAAAAGGGGTAACAAATCTCTCTGGAACAAAAACATAACATAAATAATAATTTTTACTTGCGTCCACAGTATTTTTGCGTAGAATTCCTTTCTGCGTAGGCGGCCTTCGGCCGCGCTTTGGGATTATAACCCTTACTAAATAGAATTCTCCTTTTGGTGTGCACCAACTGGGGCTACCGCTCCAGTGATGTAACCTTGGGAAAGGATGAGGTAACTAGAATTCCCTTTCTGTGTGGTAAACCTGGGGCTGCCGCCCCAGTGATGTATATGTATATTAACGCAATAAAATATACATAGAAGCCTTAAAAATATGTTTCAGTATTTTACGGGGGAAAATTACCCCGACCCCCCCCCCCCCCCCCCCCCCTTACTATTTATTTTTATCTGATTAAAAGAACTTTATCGTATTTTCCTTTTAATCGTATTTTCTTTTGGTCTTACTTTCCCCTTGATTTTTTTAGATGTGGCAACACAGTCCTGCTGCCATTTGTTTATAATTTGCATGTACTCATAATAATTAAACAAAAATGAATTTTTCATAAAACGCTGTAATAACCCTGCAGTGAAACCCCAAACTAGTCGGGAAAAATACTAATTTACAACTAGAATATCCTGACTGAAACATATCTAGTTCGAAAATGAAGAGACTTGTACCAAGTACAAAACGATTTATTCATGCCCGGTTTTATTTGACTTCGTCAGTTTAATAAAATAAAGTACACAAAATATTACAACTTTTATTTGGGTATATTGTAAACCGTTAAAGCGAGTACGTACTCGCATTTATACCATGCCTGTTAAATAATGATTAATAATCATAATGATTAATAATTAAAGCATGTTTTTTTTTTGTATAAACGTTTAATGATTAAATACCAATATCAGCACCTTTTAAATGATCATTAATTAAATAAAAACTGTTAATTAATTAATTAATTTTAGTTACATGATAACTTTGTTATTTTTGATCAATTTAAATTATTTTGACTTTTTTTAATTACACGATTAATATAACTATTTGATTATTTTTAATTATCAATCAACAAGCCAAACTACAGACAAAAATTTGGAATATTTAATAGCAGCATGAATTATTTATTTATTTTATTCTTATCTTAATCTCAAATTTTAAGCGCTAATTATTACTTTTATACAATTTAAAAAGAAACATGTAATTTAATGATAACTTTCATTTTTATTTAAGTTCACTCGACAATGAACTAAAGTATTTATTTTATTTTTAACTAAAATACTTTCTTTTTCATATTCAATGTTATTAAAAAATATGAAATATATAGTATATATTGTAACTGAAACCTTTTACTTTCAATAACAATTAATAAAAAATGCGTTTAAATTTATGTTCCAAAGTTTGAAATATTTATGTATTTACTAGCAGAGCACCCGACGTTGTTCGGGGTAAACAAATCAAAATATATAACAGTAATACAAATATTCAGTTCAGCACAAATTAGAGGAGGAAAACTATTTTCTTCAACTACTATATATTGATCTTGTTCATTACTAATATAAAGTGGATTAAGGTAACGATAGAATATTAAAATTTAAATTAGCCTACTATGGTAGATTCCGTTTAGCTTCCTATTCGCTTAGCTCTTTTAGTATAGCTGCACTTTTCCGGTAGAATGCTTATTTCAGAAGTAGTTTTATTCATTATACATGCGCATGTTTCGTTTCAGAGCATCGCCGGACCAATAAAATGATTTAATCCCTCCATTCCAAAATGGTCTAAAGACTTAAAGGTTTAAAAAAAACTACCCAGTTTTAATATCAGAGTGGTCTAATAGTTGAATACATATTTATCCCAGTTTTACAAACACATTTATATA